CACAAGCACAAGCACAAGCACAAGCACTCTGTCACCAATCCATCCATCTCGGGCGAGAGCTTCTCCAAAGGGATGGATTAACGATTCGCAATCCGCGCTTGCTTTCCTACCTTTTCTTCGCTCGTTCATAGATGCTTGTGAATCCCCGGGATCAACCCGCGTCTTCTGCCGACAAGAAATTTCGGTGTGATTGAATCGTTGGTCCAACCAACTTCACTAGTGGAATCATGGTAGCTGCACCTCATCGATCACACAGCAGGGTCTCCCTTTGTCGATCCGATACGAGTATTTCTTCTAGTGTCGTTCGGAGCAAGAGTGTACCCAATCCCTCAACAACTTCCTGCAAAGATGCTCACACCGCGTTTGATCCGCAACCGGCACGGGCTCGATTCGCTACAGGGCTTTTTCGCGCTTCTCCATCGACCTCAGGGCCTGTGGCAGCCACACCGGACCGGAGCAAAAGGGCGGAAAGACCAGCACGGACTCGTTGGTTTCGCTGTCTTCCGTCAACTGAAAGCCCACCGCCATCAGTAGCTGCAGGTTGCCCGGCACGTCCACGATCGCCGCCTTGATCTTGGCGTTGGCCAGGCGGACTTTGCGGAATTTCTCCGCCTTGGTTTCATCGGCCTGCTGCCCCTTGGTGGTGGCATTCTTGACGAGCGTCCGGGCGATCTTAAGCCCGTTCCTGGCCGCCTCTTTGTCCCCAAAGGCAACCACCTCGGCCAAAGCCTCTTCGAATTCAACCGAGTAGCCCGCCGTCCGTTCGTCGTCGCTGTCGATGGCCTCGGAAGTTGGATTTGCGGGGGGTGCTACCGCGGGAAGAGTAGCTGTGTTGCTACTGCCGCTCGACGCAGGCGCCTGGATGGCCCCGTGCTGCGTCGCCGTCGTGGCAGTCCGTGCCTGACCGGCAGTCTTTTTGATCACTTCGTAGGGATTGTATCCCAGCTCGGCGGCGAGAATGGCTTCCCCCTGCTTTGCGGCTTCCATGGCCTGCCGGGAGGCCTCGGTCTGGGGTTGCAGTTGTTCCTCGGTAAAATTGTTCACGTCTTGCTGCTGTTGTTGCTTCAGAAGGGTGGACTTGGTGACGTGCTTGATGGTTTTGGTCTGGGACTTGTACTTCTTCTCGCGGGCATCTACGGCGGCGATCATGGCCCTGCGTCGGGCCTCTGCATCGGCCGATCCCCCCTGGTCCTTTCGGGTGCCCTTGGATTCATCGAATCGCCGGGCATCCAGGTCTAAACCCATGTGTTGAGAAACATGAGTGAGGCATAGTTCGAGAAGAAAAAGAAGGCGCAAGAGCGAGTGTTAGATTCTTTTCGTTTCAATGTTTCATGACGAATGATTATCGTTGCATCGTGCTATATTACAGAAACCTGCACCAGGCGGCAACGACCCCATCGCTCCTTTGGATCGAATTGCATTGAAATCACGCCAAGCAGAGCCAAGCCAAGACACACGCCCCGCCCAGCCTGTCCCATCCAGTTCCATTCCATTCGACCACCACCACGCACAGAAACTACCGTACTTACGAATCGGGCGCTGCTCGCTCTGGGCAATGTCCAGGAACATTTTGTACGGGATCTCGTTCTGCCCCCCCGAACCCGAAAAACACAGGACGTCCCCCCTCTGGAGGCCGGACCGCTCGGCCTGGCTCCCGGGAACGACCTGGCTGACGATGGCGCTCCCATCGTTGTTGCTCTTCTTTTCGACGCGGATGCCCAGGGGGCCGGGCTCGTGGAGAGAAATGTCGATCACCACGCCGGGCTTGGATCCTCCCAGCGACTGGCCGGCCCCGTTGAATCTCGGTTGGCCGATCTTTTCGATGTTCTTGCGAATGTTCGCAATGGGGTTGTTGTTGCTGTTGTTATTGTTGCTGCTGCCGCTTCCGGCTTTTTTTTTCTTTTCGTCGTTCTTGAAGATGTTGTCTAGGAATCCCATGGTCCGTGCGCTTTCTCGTGTTCTAGTTGAGGGATTGTGTGAATGAATGTGTTTTCGGTGTTGTCGGGTGTGTACTGTGCAAACAGCGTGGTGTGATAATGCGGCCTTCTGATATTGTGCCGTTGCGGATATTATTGCAAGTCGATTCCTAACGGTACGGGAAGATGCTACGAGTACCGGTACGACCACAAGCCGCTTTTCGTTGTTCGTCTTCCTCGTTCTACAGTATCGTACGTACCTGTTACCTTACCGTACAAACATATCGTACCATACTACAGTACCGTAGAATACGATGCAGGGACGTTTTCTGACGATTTTTCTCGGAAAACGAAAAACATCGCTTGCCCTTTCCGTCTTCCCCGTCTTCCACTCCCGTTTGGGCCAATTTGGTGACAGAGAAGTTTGGGGTGGTCGTACCGTACGTATCGCACCGCCATACGTACCGTACATAAACCTATCGCGATCCTACGGTACCGTACATACGTTGCCGTAGGGTACTCTTACGTACTTGCACCTTGAGCAATACCACGACTCAACGTTGACAGGAATTCTAGTTCGAAACGGTTAGAACACGGTTATCTGATACGTGCTTTGGGTCGTCCATGGATGACCTTCCGAGCCAACACGGGGTCCGCCAGCGCAAAACACAAACAGTACAGTAGGATCGATTCACACCGGAGCGCGAAAAGCCTTTTTCGACGGAGAAGCTCACCTGAACGCCCGAAGCAGATTATTTTTCTTCTCATTCACGAAAATTCTGTTGGGACAAACACGAAAGTTGTTCATCGAAAAGCAATTCAAGAGCCAGGACTACTCTAAAACAAAAATGGCGGTGACGGGAGACTGGACGATGGTAAAGAACGGGGAAGAAGGCTCCGAATCCTCCGATGCGAACTCGAACACCAACAACGACGTCGATGGCGAATCTCCGGCAGCCGCGGTCCGGTTTCCCTGCATCGAGCAACCCACGAGGGTCACGCTTCACTGCAACGGATATTACCTTTGGGGATGCCGAAACGGAAAACTGATCGCCCGCAAGAAACGCTCGGAAAAGGACGAGTGGCGGATCGAAAACAGCCACTGCGTGGTGGGCGAGGAGGAGGAAAACAACTCCGATGCCAGCAACGGGAATTCCAGGAACCAACACGTGGTCAACATTTGCAACCACAAATTCGGTGGAAGATTGTCGCTCGTGGATATAGAGGAGAAGCACAGGAAGGAAGGGGGGCCCACAAAGACCGTGGTGTGCATTAAGGACGAGAGCGCCAAAACCGGCACCAAGAATTCAAAGACGGAGGACAAGCAGAACATTGGTGGCAACGAAGCGTCCAGCAACGATCTGGGGCTAAACGAGAGCATCGATTCGGAGGAGGTGGTCGACTTTGGGGACGACACTGAGCCCGCCGCGCTAGAGAGACTCCCGGACGATGAGGAAGACCCAGAGGGAGGGGAGGACGGAGAAAACATGGACGGCGTGCTCGACCTGGGTTCGGTGGACCAAGAACACCAGCAATGGTGCCTCGTCCGTTGCGGCGACGGGCAGGGAAGCAGCGGGCTGATGATCCAGTCGCTCACGACCGGTGACCGCCTCGCGATTACCGACGACGGCAAGATCACCCTGGTTCCTGCATCCGCCCCCGAGGATTCGTCGGTGCCGTCCAGTGTCTCCGGACTTGTCTGGGAAATGGAATGCGTTACGGGCGAGCTGTGCTTCCTGTCCAATCCTGCTCTCGATGTCCGGGTGCGCTGCGACATGGCCGGCCTATTGACCCTGTCGCCCAACTGGAAGGGCTGGGAGGTCGTCCGCATCCTGGAATCGAGCGGCGACGGTTACGTAAAGCTTTCGAGCTGGATGCACAGCCAGTGGCTCTTGTGCAGCGACGCCGAGGGCAACGTAACAACGTGCTCGCATGCCGATTCGCTCCTCTCCGAGGGCCAGCACGGTGAATCGGATTTCCCTGGCGACCAGGAGCCGCAGAAGCAGCAACCCTTTCGCTGTTCGAAGTGGGCCATTGAGAAATACCAGGGGTCCAGCGGCCCCCCAGGTGTAATTATTCGATCCAAGACTCACAACCGGCTCCTGAGCATCCGGGACGGGGTTTTGAGAACCTTTGACAGCCTGGAGGATATATCCAGGCAGGCTTCGGCCATCCTCGAGGAGTGTGCTGCCGAAGATTGCGAGACGGAGGACAACAGCGGTGGCGGGGACGATGCCGCAGAGCCACAGAGCCAGAAGATTGCCGACATTGTGAAGCGCAGCAGCGACGAGGTGAAGGATGCTATGAAGCGCGGCAGCGACGAGGTGAAACGCCGGGGCAGCGATTGGTGGAAGACCAGTGTCAAGAACGTACAAAAGAAAATGTCCGATACGGCAATCCAGAGACGAAACTCGAAGAACCCGGTCGACTTTCTTAGGAGCAGCATGACCCGTAGCGGCCGGGACGAACTCCAGGCCATCTCCTCGTCCATTGCGGACATTTCCGAGGGAGAGACCATCGTGTGGCAACTGGAGGCCGCTCATCTGCAAACCTATTACTTCTTGTCGTCTCCGTCCGAGGTTGAGAAGAAGATCGATGCTTGCGACGAGGAGGACGGCGACGAAACCCAGACCCCTGACGCTTCGATTGGCAAACCCAGGTCCATTGGTGCCTTTCCCAACGTTACGGAAAACCTTCGAACCTCGGACAAGATACAGCTGGTTCGAAACGACAAGGAAATCAATACTATTAAGCTCTATCTGACGGAAAAGAACCTCTACGTGACGTGCTCCTCGAAGGGCGTTATCTTCCTCACGGAAAACGAGGGTGACGAGGGATCCGACTGGATCATGGACCAGCAAAAAGACGGTGGGAGCGTCTTCCGGTCCAAGGCCCACGGTCTCTATTTGTCGTACAAGGAGACGGAAAACAACGGCACCAAGAGCGATGGCGGCGACGAACAAGCTGCCCCAGCGGAAGACCTTGACAACGACGGTGATTCCTCCATCGTAGACACAGACAACAACAACAACAACACAAAACCAAAATCCCCGTCCGCGAGGGGATCGGTCAAGTTCAAGAACCACCTGCAGAATTTGCTGCAAAAGAACAACACCGTCACCGAGCTCTGCGGTGTTTCGGCGATGGAGCCCTCCGCCCTGTGGAAGCTCGAGCCCTGCACGCCCCGGGCGGTGAGCTCGGAAAAGCTCAAGACCTTTGCCATCGGGACGTCCATCGCCGTCGGAACGACCATCGCCATGCCCTTTGCCCTGGCGGGGGTTGCCGCGGTCATGGGGGCCGTCGGGGCGGAGGCCGGGATCGGCTTTGGAATCGTGGCGGCCGGCCTGACGGGAGTGGAGGCGATGGCCTCGGTCGGGGCCATCGGGGCGACGGCCTACATCTGCTTCAAGCCGGCCCAGAACTCGCTGACGGACGACCACCAGGCACAGGACGGCAGCGACGAAAAACCCTGGTCGAAGCGGCCCTTTAGCAACTGGCGGAACTGGTAGCCGCGCATGCATAGAAGACAATAATTTGAGAACCTTTTTTAGTTTTGGTCACGGCCCGCTATATATTGCGTATCGTTTCGTGTAGTTTGGAGCGTTCTCGTTCTAGTTCCAGCATGCCCCATAGCGCAGGCACACGGGAGAATGCAAAGCCGAAACAGCACCGCACCTCGGGGGCAACTGTGCACGGTTGGGGGACAGCACCAGCCTCGTGTGCTACAAAACAAAACGAAAAAGGAACCGAGCCGAACCGAACGGCATGGTCTCTGTCAGTGGTTGCATGGTAGGGCATGCGATCTATAGAGTGTGTGTCACGTTGGACCACAATGCTGCATGCCGCAACCAATGCAGGCGTACGGAGGAATAAATAGAGAGCCATTCCGAGACCCGCTGCGCTTCGTTTTTGTCGGCCGCCGGCCCGGTGCGCGAACGGAACGGAACCAAGGCCCTTTTCTCCGGGGCAACGATGCCCGGCAGGATCGAAAGCCTCTGTAGAGTTGTGTTCACCGGGGGCAGCAGCGCAGCCTAGTCCAGCACAGCCCGCAGTGTGCTGTGCCGCGACGTAGTAGTATGACATGGCATGATATGTCATGTACGAAACACGGAACAATAGAATGCATTCCAAAGCGGCATTCGCATTTGGGTGCGAACACTCGCCAATGCAGTACGTGTGAATAGATACTGCATGAGAGAGGCCGACGGAGAGTCCTCATGCGTTATGGCATGGAATCCTCGGTTCGCTGTAACGGACATAATTGACGGGTCTGATTCAAAACAACAATTTCATACCAATACTAATCCACAGTGTGGAAAAGAACCCAACGGTAGTATTTTCGGTGGGGCACGTTGTCAAAAAAATGCAATATTGGTGAGGATGACTGCATGAAGGGAGAGATCTTCCGGTACTGGTTCGTTAAAATAGATAATTTTTGTTGGTCCTAAAAAATCGAAAACCTACCATATTTCACGTTAGTTGAAGTGGTTCGCAAACCAATCATAGCCTCTAACGAACTCCTGAGGTAGTAATTGTACCTAATCGATGCTACTGGGGATCGATATTATTTTTTTGAATAAGAAACAGATATCCTGCTCAATTATGGAACAATTTATATCAAGCTGTAATAAAGAATTTACTTTATGCAGGATTGCCTTTGACCGCAAACCAATGCATTTTTGGTCGAGCAATAACACATAGTAAGGTACTACAATAGGTACGGTACCACATTGGCACTATGTAACATTGTGTTGGGGATATTCAACAATACGAGTACGCATGGTCGCTTGGTACTAGTACGTACAATACATTTTCGTACAACTTGTCGAACCTTTTTTGAACACGTACGCGTTCTCCCGGTTCGTAATATTTCGAAGAAAATGCTTCATGCTGCATCGAGCGTTTCAACCGTAACAAGAGCTTAAGTAATTTCGATGGTACAAAATGATGAAGGAAAATTATCATTGTTTTGGGATCAAGACTCACCACTGGGTGTCTCATCCGCATGTCACAAAAATAATATTTCCAGGTCCTCGCTCAATGTCTTGTCACAGTGTGAGGAGGCGATACGATCCAATTACATTCAGAATCACACGAATACAATGATTGCGGTAACACATGACCAGCCACATAGAATGAACAGTTTGCACCCGGAAATACCCAGCGAGATCATCATCGATCGAGTGCTGCTGCGACAACAGAGTCAAACCGAGGAGGAAACCGACTTGCGGTTGCGGTTGCCGTTGCCGGTTGCCACCCACCAAGACGACGAGGCACCACCGGACACCCTCGGTGCCGTCGACGGTGCGGCCCCGAAGAAGCGCTCCTCTCGCTGCGCAGGCCTTCTACGAAAGGTGCAGAAAACGGCGGCGGGCATCGCTTCGTTCCGGCGGCGGTCCGCGTCGTCCTCGCAGACGAAAATGACGGCGACAACGACACCGACAGCGACCAGCCACGACTCGAACACCGCCTCGACCGGCACCGATACGGACAGCGACGACAGCGAAAGCACCCCGCTGCTGGCCTCGGATTGCGAGGACGATTCCTCCCTTCTCCGGGAGCAGCGGGCCCACGAGGACCTCCGGTACCGCGTCGAACACTATTTCCTGTCGCCCTTCTTGTGATCGAAGCGAATCCAACCCAACCAAGCCATCGAGCGGCAGAACGGAGGGGCACGACGACGGCTAGAGCGACGGCCTTGCGACGCAGAGACGAATCGGATCCGTGCCGCGCGATCCGTTGGGATTGCGCGGAAGGCCTCTTGCCCAAAACACTTGTGTGTCACCCAGTTGTACATGATAGAGAACCAAACCATGCTGTATTCATAGACGAGATTCAAGTTCATAGCTATTGTGTGCTATGATTTAATTAAATTTCATTTAAACTATTCCAAACAATACAGCTTCGCCTTTCGTGCCCATCGCACTTCTCTAGCGTTGCCGGTCAATTCTACGATCGGACGCACAAATTGTTTGGCGTAGGCACTAAGTTTAGTTGTTTCGTTAGCAAGTGAGAACCGTCATGCTATTTTGGAATGTTCGAATCGAATTCAAAACCGCAAGGGCAATCGTTTCCCTCACTGTCAAATCTGTGTCTTTCTCAAATAAAAATACGAGTGTCAACGCCGCGTTTGGCGCCCACAAAGCCATTCACTAAGATTTACAGAACACCAACGTATACACTCGCACGCCAATCGAAAGCACGTATTGCGTGAGCATTTTTTTCTCCAGTGCTGGTGGCTTAAAATTGGGAGGCCTGCTGGAGCTGCCTCTTGAAGTCTCCGACCTGTGCAATCTTGGTGGCCGGTCCATTGGTCGACCGGAACTGATTGAAGTCCCACCTTGTGTTTTTGCGAATGGTGTCCAGTCGGCTGGGTTGGCCCGTGCGCTCGTCGATTTCCACGACACGCTCCCGCTGGGCCTTCAAGAAATTGTCAAAGTAGTGCTTGTAGGACTCGTCGTTGGAGACCACCCCCAGCAGGTTGTCCAGGGTGTACTTGGTAAAGGGCACGGATTCGTCCATGGCGTCCAAGTCTTCGGGGCACATGGCGGCGACCAGCTGGCAAATAAGATGAAATCCCTTCGAATACGGAAGGGCCGCGCCTTGGTCCTTGTACACCTCGCGGGCTTCGTCGCCAAAATCGTCGGATTCGCTGCAAAAAGCGGCGATCTGTTTGTGACGAATCAAGGAGAGAAAAAAAGCAACGGGGAATAACCAGTCGAAAAAATTGAATGTTTAGTAGGGAGGAAAACCAAAGAAAAACAATGATTCGACCATCCAGCAACAACTCGGCATCGTCACAAGCCAAACATTGTACAAAGTACTTTGCTACAATAGAAACGACAAACCGAATTGCAACTACCAGTATCGATCGGAGATAAAACTCACCTCCTCGGCGTCCTTCATCCACTCGACGGCTTCGTCCTCGTTGGTACAGCTCAGAAAGGTCATGGGATTCGACTCCGGGTCGGACCGGTGGCGCAAGATCTTGATGATTTCGTCGATGGCACGCTGGCCTCCGTTGGGCCTTCCGTCCCCAAAAAAGTAGCGGGCAATGTTGTTGCCTTGGCCCCGAAGGAAAGACTCCTGGAGTTTTTCAAGGGCGGGCGTCGTTCCAGCCGGCTTGCGGGCAAAGACGGCGTCGATAGACCGGTTGGCGTCCTCCAAAAATGACTTCGGATCCCGGCCCTCGCGCTTGAGTGAGATTCGATCCTTTCGGTTCAAAAACTCGATACCGATCTGCTCAAAGGGAACGTAGGCGATGATCTCGATCATTTCCTTGACCCGGATCTCGGCTTCTTTCCACCGGCTCATGGGCCTTCTCGTGGTCGGGTCGTTCGAGTCCGTGGGCAACTGCATGCTGCCCGAGTCGTCGACGATGAACTCGAGGCTTTGGTACTCGGAGAGCAGCATAAGCTTGTTGGTCAGCCCGATGGGGATCTCGTACTTGGCTAAGATGGCCCCGAGTTCATCGATCATCTCGTCCGGTGCCATTCCGGCTTCGGCGGCAATCTCCGGTTCCTGGAGCATCTCGATCGTGGCGTTGGTGGATTCCGCCAGGGGAATCTCCTGCTTCAGGTCGTCGTTCATGGTCATGTGGTCATCCATGGAGGACACGATGGGAAGGGCCTGGGCGCTGTTCACCACCGTTGTGGCGGGGGCGGGCGATCCCGCGGCGGCGTTCTGGGCGTCCTTCCACCTCTTGTATTCGGGGTTCAGTTTCATGATCCCGTTGATCTTGGTGTACTTCTTTGGCGGCATGGTGTTTGTTGGTTGCTGTTGAGGGGCCGGTGGTTTAGTGTACTGTACAACTTGTCTGTTGCTATTGCTTGGTGGACTGAGTAGAATCAGATTCTATCCTATTGGAGTGGAGTTGAATTGAATTTATGCCGAATCCTCTCACTGTTTGCCGTCGTGAAACCTGTTGATCGTACCGGTACGTGCTGTAGAAGATTGATTCGTGGACGATGATATGCTACGGTCATAGTAAGAATAAGACAGTCCTTTCACAATACTGTACCGAACCGGCCGCACGTTGGATCCAAAAGTCTACTATCTACCATACGAGTACTGTATCGTACAGCTAGAAATGCTTCTCTAAAAATCGTTCGAAAGACGAAAAACGAAAAACATCTTCATACCGGTACCGTAATGTTGTTTTCGTACTTACTCGTAGTCATAGTATTAGTCGTACCGTACATACTTGCTCGATCAACGGACGATTCAAAATATCGAAGAACCCGACCGAGTCAAGTCATCCTCGATCAATTCATTCACAGCATCTACGGTACGCGCACCGACCTGTGTCAGAAAAAAAGAAGGCGATCGATTTTTGATACTCCAGACAATACGAGGTACCGTACCTACCTGGACTACCATGCATACGTACACGTCTAACTCTATGATCTTTGATACCGAGTCGTGCGATAAAAATTCGGCGACAAGCCATCTCGGAGACTTGTTTCTAATCTTAGTTTTCATCCGTGCAGGTAGTAACAATAATTGCGTGAGTGTACAACATTTGCTTGTCTGTTTTAGCACGACACAACCGACCGTGGTTGTTAACTCGGAACACAGTCTCACAATGGACCAAAAGCCGTTCTGGCGTACGAACGAGAATGAAAAATGCTTCCAGCACTACAGTAAATTTTATCTCTTATTCGGGGTTTGACGAGTAAAACGGAATTTATTTCTAACGTTAAGTAAATGGGTTTCTTAAGGCAATCTCCGTATGTTTTTACGATTTGAATGACTTTTCTGACGTCAAACATGGAGACGAATACCCGGATCGTCGGACGTGAGAAGGTACGGAATCTAGGTTCAGTCGTTGCAATCGTACCGTACAGTATTGCCATGTTGAAGAAATTTTATAATAATACTACAGTACCGTATGTACGGTAGTAAGGAGGTATACAGTTCAGAGCGTACGTACCGGTAGAAGTCAGAAGAACGAATCGCCCAGGTAGGAAATAGTACGATGTGTACCGTGTTTCGCACGACAAAACAAACACGAACGAAGTTTTCACCGTCAGAATTCTTCACAGGCACTGCACCTAGTAACGATTCACGATGCTTTGGAAAAATGGTAATCCTCCCTTACATTGCCGCACACAACCATAAACCGATTGAAGCAGAAAGCAAATAATACACAACGCAAAGAAGGTATGAAAAGAGGAACACAAGCCATTACAACAGCTATCCAACTCTACGCCATGTCGCCAACCACAGAAGCAGCGAGAACCCTATCTTTTTCGTCCTCCGTCCCCTACTACCACGAAGACGGCGATCGATTGTCGTTCGGAGAACTCAAGGAATACGGACAAGACATTGCCCGATCCGATTCTTCCAAGGAATTCGTCGCGAAATTTTGGCGGCGGCGGTCGAACCAGGAAATCAGTATGGACCTCGAGGATCTCCTGGCGGAGCTCGCGGACGAGAGCGCGAAGAACAGAACCAACGGCACCAACAATGCCTCTTGCATCAGCAGCACACTGCATCCAGATGAGCTGCTCATCGTTGCCGAGGGGGTCCGTCACACGGCCGAGAGGTCCTCGATGATCTCGCTGGATCTGGACGACCTCTTCGGGGAGGAAGACGGCGCCGACAGAAGCGACCAAAACCACCACCTCAATCCCTACGGCATTGTTAGCACCCTGAACCTCGACGAGCTTCCGGCAACCACGTCGTGCAGCGATTGCGAATGCGATTGCGGAGGAAGCGAGGAAACAAAAACAACCTGGGGTTCGGAGCCGCAACCCGGTTCGTGATGTACGAACGACGACAGCTTTATGGTCCGAGGCGGACACATACAAGAATACCCGGGGAAAACAAAACAGGACAACAAGATACTCATATTATGAAGCAGTGCCAAATTACAAACTTGACATAAAACAAAGCAAACAGTGACGACATGAGGTCGAGAATTATTGCCCTTAAATAATAAGAATAAAATACTTCGTACCACCATCAACTTTGATGTAGTCGCAAGATCATTATTATTTGCTTGCATACGCGACGCAATACTCTGGCCTATTGCAAAATGAAGCAGTGTATCGTGTATCAGATCAGTACTGTAGTTAGAAACATGAATATGAAACGTGCAGATGGTGGTGGTATGAGCATGAAACCAAACAATTGACACAGAAGTTGTTTACTACTCTTATTATCCTACTAGTAGCTGCCGTGATGCTTCCACTTCTTGTTGTTGTAGGACTTACTACTAGCTAGTACTAGTACTGGTCACTGGAAGAACAACATATCACCAGAGGCAAAGTTTTAAGGAGGATGTACAAATAGCACTAGTAGTACCAGTACTAGTACTAGTAGTACTAGGTAAGCGAAGGAGACCGATGGTCCGTTTCGGAGCTCATAGACATCAACCCA